TGTGTGATTTTGCGGTCTGCATGGCCATCAAAGCACATGTGACACAGTTATAATATAAGTCACCAGGAGAATTCACGGAAGGGTTACACGAACTTAATATAGAAATTACCATACCCATTAATGAGTAGAGATTGATTGATAATGCCCGTCCTATACGTTTTTTTATCCTAAGATAGTAAAATCTACTTATATATTTACTCGTTCGCTACTTTAATCTACTATACGCGTTTTATATTTAAGGGAACTAGAGACTAGCTATAATCTGTTACTACGTGGGTGACCACTAGCGAATTTTCACTGTTGCATGCTTTCTTTTTTTGGGTTATCTTCTGTGGAGATGTGGTAAGTGAGTGTGCTGTATTTTTCGGGTGGGTTGAGTGGGGGGTTTTCATTGGTGTCAACATGAGAACTATATCTGTGTATAGCATTGGGCGGTCTAAGCAACCATTGCTAGTAGTCCATATGACAATTATGTAGTAGCATAGTTGGCATGACTCTTAGTTATAGGAATTTGTTTGGCTTTGAGGTACCCGGACACATGGGCTTTAGACTAGTTGTAAAAAAAAAAAGAAAAGAAAAAAAGAAACGAAGGTTTTCAGATGCAGCGTAATTAATTAAATGATTAGATGGTAGGGGAGTAGGGGAATGATTTACTAGATATTAGGTAAACCTAGATACGAGAAATCTACTCCAATACGATTTTTAAGAGAAAGGGCTAATATATAAGAGTATATACTTCGATAGGCCTAGGGCTATTCTGTAGTTCGGGCGTTCTATTTCTCTTAGAGCCCTAAAAACGTTCTCTAGAAGTCTTCGAAAGGTATTCTATATTCCTTATTATTCTAGAATCTAGATCCTTACGTAGAAGCTAAATCTAATACTAGAGGTAATTAATAATATAAGATAGAACGCCCCCCGATATCTTCACCCACGCTAGCTGATTGGAACAACCTATACCGATTTTCTTCTCTTCAAAGGTCCATTCTGGGCCTACAGAAGCGCTTAACTAGAGTCCATACTGATAAAACTGTAGCAAGCACCTTTGGTCTTCTGCCTGACAGAATTCAACTGCAGTGACAAACCAAACTATAGTTTTAATGAGGATGTTAATTCACAGTCTCTCGAGGCTACTTTAGAAACTATGGCGTGGCTGAGCCGCCGTCAATTTGAGCTTACCACCTTTCAAAGGCTACAGTGCTCAGCAGATCAGTTACTTGCATGCACGAAAAAGCATCCACAGAGGTACAACCATAGCACAGCAAAAGCACTATTTCAGCTGCTGATGTCGGGCTTATTTGATAAAGGTAAAGTGAAGTCTACTAATTCTTTGAGGAAATCATCTTACCGTCTTGTACAAGGAACATTTCTAATGATCATTGATCTTAGGAAATGCGAGGGTTGTGCTCAGATGTGGACAGGTTTGATGCCAAAACAATTGCTTACAGCCCAGTAGTCCATAATCGTCTTACCCAATGGTTGAGATAGGCAAATACCTTGGATGACTTTGAACGCTATGATAAGTCTGAGTTACAACAGGATGCAGAACTGGATCTAGCTGGTTTCAATCCTTCCATCGGGAGGTCTTGCGGGGAACACCTTACAAATCTGATATCAACGCCATCGACACGGATCTGGATGAATACTATAAGCGTATTCCGAATTTACTGGTCAGTGCTTTTAAAGGGATTTCTCCTAATATGACCGCTCTCTTGGAAGAATTTATGGTGGAAATGGGTAAGCTTCGAGAAGTTTTGTCGGAGGATTTGAAACATTTCAAGGGCTGTACGGTTTCCCAAGAAAAAGAAGTGGCATTTCAGAAGTTGAAGGATAGAGTTATCGAGTGCTATGGGTGTATGAAAGAGCTTGATAACCTGTATGAAGTGTTATTGATGGACTTCAGACTTTCCGGTGATCATTCTCAATCTCCAGAAGGTTCTCGTAGACAGGAGAGCGTGATTCCATGTTATTGGCATACTTTCTTTTCTTGGGGCCATTGAAGGAGCTACAACCGACATTTTATTGCTATTAACCTTTTCCAAGTTTGATTATGTCTTCTATCAATCATTTCCGACAGACTTTGAGAACGATTCACGTAGCCCATAATTAGGTATCGTGGCATGAAACGTCAGTAGAATACTTGCCAAGACCTCAGCTAATATCCGGTGACAAGAAAGCTTATAGGTAAACCCTAATCTACATATGCATTTTGATTATGAACTTATTATGAAACATATAGAATTAATAAATCCTCGGTATGCCGGTTCTTAATGCGCTGACACATCCCCCTCCCCCCACCACTCCAAAAAGAGGTTTGACCTGTGAGCGCTTTAGGTCTTCGTACACATCCATAAGTATTTGCCATACTTTCGGCCCATTATTTCTTCTGTGGGGTATTTGTTAAGTTGGGACTTTCTATTGGCAAAATATCTAATCAAACTAGAAATTGACACCAAGGATTCCATGGATAGCTACAGGATACCGGACTCGCCACTCAGTATCAGATGATATAATAGTGACATCTCCATCAATCTAGGGAGCTTTATCTGCTAATTTTAGCACCTAATCCGATGTGGCTCGCAAGCAGGCAAAATTACCGATGTCTAGGATAACGAACCGTGGTCGAACTCAGAGGAGCCAAGTTAACGCCTGTTTACCAGCCAAGACAGCTATTTTGAAGGGCTAAACAACGCCAAACTAACGGCCTCAAAGTGCCTGGACTTGATCTTAAGACCAGACCAATTTATTTAAGCCAGTGATAGCGATGCGCTTATAAAATTAAATAAATGTGTTGGACAAAACTGGGTTGCGGAAAGTCAAAATAGACACGACATGGGAAACACGCGACTTCATTACCACACCACACATGCAAACCGTGGAGACTTTTTTTCTTCGGAAAAATTGCTTGTCCAGGCCCAAGAATACTAAACGGCAGTAAATAGTTCCAAAGCAATTCATTATGTTGAACAGGAAGCGACGTCCTCTATCAATTTAGCTCAACAGCGAGGCCGAGGAGGAATAAAGAACTAAGCTGGCCCAAAATAGCATTTTTAGTTCACGTTCAACGATAATGCATCTCAAGTAGAATCAGAGAATCAGAGCTGATTTGATGATGGACCCGTTCGTTTAGATCTGTACCCGTATTGTGAGAATGTATCTTTCACTTCCTTGACGCCGGGAAATATTCTCATGTTGCCTCCAGAGTTTTTTCATGATCATGTTATTATCAATTGCTTATGTCTGGACATACATGCATGCACGCTGTATCGATTTCTTGAAAGTCAATCTATGCCTATACGAACCTTGATATATTGAGTTACACATTTATAGCAGGTTATTATAGGTGTTTTAAGCTTTACTTTCCATTCATCCTTCATCAATCTGGGCAGCAAATGCCACCGAACAGGCAATTTAGCTAGATCGAGACTGTTGAGCCAATGCGACAAAGTCCGGGGGAAAAAATAAAAATACAAAAGAAAATACATATGTAAGTATCTAAATAAAGAAAATAAAGAGAATAAAGAGAGAAAGCCTCAACCATGGTTGGGCCCGAAGCGTGACGTCACATAAGCTGTTGCTGGACCCTGCATGACTCTGCATGAGAGAGGTCCAGACAAACCCCAGATGTCAACGCGGGCTTTCTAAACCTTGTTTCTTTTACTAGACCCCGACTGATCTGTTTGAATGCCGATCTGTTTTGAATGTCGGTCTCTGGTGAATTGTTACGTTCCATGCATCAATATTGTTTTTTACATAATGAGCTTTGGGCAGTTTCAGCTCTACCATGTTCCAAAGGGAGCATGAACCTCTCATAGCCAGGAGATCTCAATACTAGTCCACTTGCTTTAACAAATTTTCGGCTCCAAGACAAAAACAAAACATAGAAACAAGAGGCGCCTCCATATTGTATGTTAATATCTAATATCTAGAAGGAGCTTGTTTGAACTCAGAACTTCGTGGAGAACACCCATGCAACAAACATATCAACTTGCATTGACATAGACCAGTATCATAAGGCATTACAGCGTTAGTAACTAATCATTATCTTGCGTAACTTGTTTTCAGATCACCGTATGTCTTTCAAGGGTTTGCAGATGACAGTGTTTTCCGAGGCATTAGCTCGCCTAAAATATTCATAGATTTAAAAATAAGTTTCCACAAAGTATACCACAAAGTATAGACGTGCTAGGCCCCGAATGTTCTGAATACGAAGTGATCTAGTTCGGGCGTGACAAGGATTCCCCCAGAGTGGAACTGTTCCGTGTAGGCTTGGCATCGGCCGCGCTCTTGGCATCGCCCCAAAGTTCTAGGTGTCTCACTGCCATCCACGGGACCACCATTGCTCACTATCTAGCCCTAGATCTTCCTAAATTCACTTTGGCCCACCGGGCCCTAAATTTTAATGGCCGCATTTCAACTGGAATGAGAAGAGAACCTTGTATCTCGGATGGCGGCCAACAGAAGGTCTTCGAGATTATGATGTGAGATCCATCCCATTGACTTATCTAGATCTATGAACCACAAAGAAGCTAAGGTATAGATTTTAAGAAGTATTGTTCTCAATGGAGCGATCCCTCGCTCGGTAACATGCACTAGTCTATTGGTGGTAGGAAGAAAGGAGTGTATATCTCCAGATAGGTTCGCATAGCCGGTTGAACCGCTTTACATCATGATTTCCAGGTGGTGGCTTTCGGGCCCATGATACTGTACAGATAATTTGTGGACGAGGAGCCACGCCACTTAAGGTCTAGAATGAACTCTTCCTTGAACATTGATTCTTCACACGAAGTGTACAGCTTTGTTTATTTTGGGATACGAAGGATAAACTTTCGAAATGATTAATTTGGGTATAAAATTGTCTTGCATCTTCAGCAAATTCCGATTCCAGATTACAACTCATTGTCAATCGAAAATCTCTTAGCACTGCGCTATATTCTATCTCTCTAGGATCATTTTAGGGATAACTTGGTTGAACTTGGCTGCCAGCCACCAGTCTCTCTATAATGAAGATTCAAGGCTTCGTTGCAAGCGCGTTTCTCCTGTTTCTGTCGGTGACCAGTGTCTTCGCCGCACCGGCCGACCCAAATTCCCTCGAAGGCATGTGTCACGCTGTTAAAAACACAACAGTCACTAACCTATACAGTTCGGACTTCCCATTGCAATCGAAAGGATTGGAATTGCAAGAACTGGGATTGGAACAAGTGCGTTTGCAACGACAAGCAGGTGTGCCACAAGGATCCCAAGTGCAACAACTGGGATTGGAAAAATGTGTCTGCAACGACAAGCCCTGCCAGAAGGATCCCAAGTGTAAGGACTGGGATTGGAAAAAATGTGTCTGCAATGACAAGCCCTGCCACAGGGATCCGAAGTGCAAGGACTGGGACTGGAAGAAGTGCGTTTGCAACGACAAGCATTGTGATAGAAAGGATTGGAAGTGTAAGGATTGGGATTGGAACAAGTGCATTTGCAAAGATAAGCATTGTGATCGAAAAGATTGGAAGTGCAAGGACTGGGACTGGAACAAGTGCGTTTGCAACGACAAGCAGGTGTGCCACAAGGATCCCAAGTGCAACAACTGGGATTGGCAAAAATGCGTCTGCAACGACAAGCCCTGCCACAGGGATCCCAAGTGTAAGGATTGGGATTGGAACAAGTGCATTTGCAAAGATAAGCATTGTGATCGAAAGGATTGGAAGTGCAAGGACTGGGATTGGAACAAGTGCATCTGCAACGACAAGCCCTGCCAGAAGGATCCCAAGTGTAAGGACTGGGATTGGAAAAAATGTGTCTGCAACGACAAGCCCTGTCAGAAGGATCCCAAGTGCAAGGACTGGGACTGGAACAAGTGCGTCTGCAACGACAAGCCCTGCCAGAAGGATCCCAAGTGCAAGGACTGGGACTGGAACAAGTGCATCTGCAACGACAAGCCCTGTCAGAAGGATCCCAAGTGCAAGGACTGGGACTGGAACAAGTGCGTCTGCAACGACAAGCCCTGCCAGAAGGATCCCAAGTGCAAGGACTGGGACTGGAACAAGTGCATCTGCAACGACAAGCCCTGTCAGAAGGATCCCAAGTGCAAGGACTGGGACTGGAACAAGTGCATCTGCAACGACAAGCCCTGTCAGAAGGATCCCAAGTGTAAGGACTGGGACTGGAACAAGTGCATCTGCAACGACAAGCCCTGCCAGAAGGATCCCAAGTGCAAGGACTGGGACTGGAACAAGTGCATCTGCAACGACAAGCCCTGTCAGAAGGATCCCAAGTGCAAGGACTGGGACTGGAACAAGTGCATCTGCAACGACAAGCCCTGTCAGAAGGATCCTAAGTGTAACAATTGGGATTGGAACAAATGCGTCTGCAACGATAAGCACTGAATCATCTTCTGATGATGACAATTCAACATTGTCGAAACTCAGGTCAAAGCATTCAACATAATCGACGGTTAATAGGACAACAGCCGGGTCATTGGATAACGAACATAATTTGTGAAGTTCGCCGTTTAGGCTTCTGAATGTACTTAGTGTTAATGAAAATCAAGTAATCTATCTTCAGCTTTTTAGTCATATAACTACTAGGCTAAAAGTTAGTAATATTAGCTCCCTGGTATACTGCCTATGTCTGTATTTTGTTATAGGCCTCGTAATAAAAAACGCCATGATAATTTGTTCGCTAACCGTTCTAGACCCGTATGTATGACTTTTGCGCTTGGATACGTCACTGTTATAGTTGAGCAGGGCTAGGATCAGGTGTGGGCAAGAATGCGATACAGTATGCAGCCAAGTCAGCCAAACGAAGGTACAAGGGAGAAATTAGCCACGTACTGCTTATAAAGCTAGTGTAATGTTATCGGAAACGCAGGTAGAAATCATCAACGTATATTGGGATTTTCCTCTTCCCGGCGTCCGTGGGGCGGCCCAATCATTTCCAGGGATAGGGAGTGGCAATTGGACAAGGGGGGCAAAAGGGACGGGCCGAGTGGAGGCTTCATGTACCATAAGTCACCTGATAGTGAACCTGGGTGCCCCTTCCAGCTCAGAATCAGGAAACTCCCTCCGCCACAAGCCACTGACAAACCAGGCAACCATCACTATGGCATCAACGTCATATTATGAGTTCAATAATGGAACACAAATCGGTAATAACCATGATACAACCACGACACAATGCCACCTATCCAAGCGACCAAAGACCTCCCACAATGACGGTTTGCCAGCCTCACGACACGATCGTTACACCATCGCTTGGATTTGCGCGTTGTACATAGAAATGGCAGCGGCTCAGGCAATGCTGGATGAATCTCATGAAATCTTGCCTACCCATGCGGACGATAGGAACACCTACGTACTAGGAGACATCTATCGGCATAATGTTGTCATTGCGTGTTTACCAGATGGGCAGTATGGAACAAACAACGCAGCGATCGTCATGATGAACATGAAGCGGACGTTCCCAGCGATTCGTGCATGTTTGATGGTTGGAATTGGCGGCGGTGTGCCAAGCAAGGCTGATGTACGCTTGGGTGATATTGTCGTCGGAACAAGGGTGATGCAATGTGATCTTGGGAAAGTTCTTAGAGATGGACAGCTCCAACGAACGGCGATTCCGAGAATTCCCCATCAATTGCTCGGTACAGCTGTGTCTTGTCTCCGCTCGAAGCATGAATTAAGTCCTAGCCGAGTCATATCTATCTTACAACAAAAGTTAGAAGGACAACCCTCGTACTCCCGCCCGATCTCTCCGGATCGTCTGTTCCATGCGACGTATGATCATGAATCTCTAACCGGTAGCTGTGACAAATGCGACCACTCAAAGCTAGTCCCACGAAGCAGACGGATGCTGGCCGAAGTTAGGATCCATTATGGCGCAATCGCCTCGGGAAACCAAGTCATGAGGGACGGCACAACACGAGACAACATTGCGCGACAGCTAGATGTCATATGTTTTGAGATGGAAAGCGCTGGTCTGATGGATATCCTCCCGTGTCTTCCAATTCGGGGAATCTGCGACTATGCAGACTCCCACAAAAGTAAAGAATGGCAGAGATATGCAGCAGCAACCGCAGCCGCATACGCAAGGGAATTGCTTGAGGTGTTACCTGTGACTGGATCGCATACAAGCATTGTCTCCACGACCGATTCTTGTAAGAATGCATTCCAGCCTTAGGAACATCCTTAAGTCACCGCTGCTCACACTATACCTTTAGATCAATATTTATCTCATGAACACCGGCAGCGCTTGTTAAATTCTCTCAAGTTTGAGCAAATGGATTCCCGAAAAACGACTATCCAACAAGAACAGAAAAAAACGTGTCGCTGGTTTCTCAGCCATCCTTATTACAAGACATGGCTTGATCCCGCAAGTTTGTCGCATCATCACGGCTTTTTGTGGATCAGTGGTAAGCCCGGAGCAGGTAAATCGACAATCATGAAATTTGCGTACTCAAGCATGAAGGGCAAAGGCCGTCACAAGCATACGATTACTGCTTCCTTTTTCTTCAATGCTCGAGGAAGTGGCTTGGAAAAATCGATATCAGGGATGTATCGATCATTACTGCTTCAACTACTTGAAGGGTACCCCGACCTTCAGGTTGTTTTAGACGATTCTGAGCTAGTTCCCAAAACTCAAAATGGTCCCCCTTCCTTGAATATTCTTAAGGATCTATTCGCTAATGCGGTTTGCGCCCTTGGTCAACGCTCGTTTACCTGCTTTGTCGATGCTCTCGACGAGTGTGATGAACAACAAGTTGTGGACATGGTCCAGTACTTTGAAGAGCTAGCCGAAAGATCTACGGCAAAAGGGGTCCCATTTCGAGCCTGTTTTTCAAGTCGACACTATCCCTACATCTTCATTCATCGGGGCCTCCGACTTACACTAGAGGATCAACCAGGCCATGCGGAAGACTTGGCAACCTACGTCACAAGTCGCCTCCGAATCAAAGAACCCAAGCTTGTCGAAGAGCTGCAACCACAACTCATTAGTAAAGCTGCTGGCGTTTTTATGTGGGTCGTCTTAGTGGTTGATATTCTGAACAAAGAGTACCGACATGGTGGAATGGCTCTTAGAATAAGACTCGCGGAAATACCCAGTGATCTTAGCAAGCTATTCAAAGATATCTTAAGACGTGATAATGAAAATACAGAAGCTCTCCTGCTCTGTGTTCTCTGGATTCTATACGCAAAGGACCCTTTACGACCGCAGGAGTTCTATTATGCCCTCTGGTCTGGTTTGTGTCTGAAGAGTTTGGTCGACAGTCGAATTCCGGATGTCACCGTCCTAGGTACTGGTGCTGGCGATGACACGGTTAGCAGATATGTTATCAGCTCCTCAAAAGGACTTGCCGAGATCACAAGATCAAACCAGCCTAGAGTTCAATTTATCCATGAATCTGTCCGAGACTTCCTTATCAAGGATAAGGGCCTGTATGAATTGTGGCCTGAGTTTGGTTTTGACTACGAGAGCATAGGCCACGAGAAACTCAAACAATGCTGCAGCCTCTATGCAAATCATATTTTGATCTGTACATCTGTTAGCAAGCTGCTTTCAGAGTCTAACTCTAACGACCGGAAGGAAATATCAAACGATTATCCCTTCTTGAAGTATGCCAGTGAAAACACCCTCTACCATGCCAACGCAGCGGCAAAAGCTATTCCTCAAGAGGCATTTCTGGCCTCTTTTCCCATCTCTAACTGGATCAATACCAACAATGTTTTCGAAAAGTTCAACAATCGGAAGTATACTATGAGTGCGAGTCTATTTTATATTCTAGCAGATAAGGGATACCCGGAGCTAATCCGGGCAAGGCTCAAAGCGGATTCTGAAATTCATATTTTGGGGGAGAGATATAAGTTCCCACTGTTTGCCGCGTTGGCTAATGGGCACAGAGACGCTGTCGCTGCTCTTTTAAACACATCCTCGAGATTTTCAGATGGCATTGACATTACAGAGGGCCTCAACCACAGGAAAGATTTGAAAGAATACGAAGATCGAACACCCCTATCTTGGGCTTCCCAGGGTGGGCGAGCACGTATTGTCGAACTACTCTTGCAATCGAGACCGAGTGGAGATGAGATGGATAGAGGGGGGCGAACACCAATTTCACGTGCCTCCGAGAATGGCCACGAGGCGGTGGTGAGACTTCTCATCGACAACGGAGCCAATGTCAACGCTGGCGACAAAAACGGATGGACACCACTTCAGCGAGCCTCATCAAATGGCCACGAGGCGGTGGCGAGACTTCTCATCGAAGAAGAAGCTAATGTCAACGCTAGCGATAAAGAAGGACGGACACCACTTTCATATACCTCTGAGAACGGCCACGAGGCGGTAGCGAGGCTTCTTATCAAAAAAGGAGCTAATATCAACGCTGGCGACAAAAACGGATGGACACCACTTCAGCGAGCCTCATCAAATGGTCACGAGGCGGTGGCGAGGCTTCTCATCGAAGAAGAAGCTAATATCAACGCTGGCGACAAAAACGGATGGACACCACTTCAGCGAGCCTCATCAAATGGTCACGAGGCGGTGGCGAGGCTTCTTATCAAAAAAGGAGCTAATGTCAACGCTAGCGATGAATATGGACGGGGATCACTTTCATTTACCTCATCAAACGGCCACGAGGCGGTGGTGAGACTTCTCATCGACAACGGAGCCAATGTCAACGCTAGCGATAAAGAAGGACGGACACCACTTTCATATACCTCTGAGAACGGCCACGAGGCGGTAGCGAGGCTTCTTATCAAAAAAGGAGTCAATGTTAACGCTAGCGACAAAGAAGGACGGACACCACTTCAGCGAGCCTCATCAAATGGCCACGAGGCGGTGGCGAGGCTTCTCATCGAAGAAGAAGCTAATGTTAACGCTAGCGACAAAGAAGGACGGACACCACTTCAGCGAGCCTCATCAAATGGCCACGAGGCGGTGGCGAGGCTTCTCATCGAAGAAGAAGCTAATGTTAACGCTAGCGACAAAGAAGGACGGACACCACTTCATCGAGCCTCATCAAAAGGCCACGAGGCGGTGGCGAGGCTTCTCATCGAAAAAGAAGCTGATGTCAACGCTAGCGACAAAGAAGGCCTGACACCACTTCAAGGGGCATTAAAAAATGGCTATGAGGCGATGCTGGTTTTGCTCAACCCCCCGACAAATCTTCATCAAATGGCCACGAGGTGGTGACAAGGCTTCTTATTGACAAAGGAGCTGATATCAACACTAGCGATAACAGGGGATGGACACCACTTCATTGGGCTTCATCAAAAGGCCGCGAGGCGGTAACGAGGTTTCTTATCAAAGAAGGAGCTAATGTCAACGCTAGCGATGAATATGGACGGGGATCACTTTCATTTGCCTCATTAAACGACCACGAGGCGGTGGTGAGACTTCTCATCGACAACGGAGCCAATGTCAACGCTAGCGACAAAGACGGACGGACACCACTTTCACATGTCTCGTCAAATGGCTACGAGGTGGTAGCGAGGCTTCTTATCGAAAAAGGAGCTAATGTCAACACTAGCGACAAAGAAGGACGGACACCACTTCATCGAGCCTTATCAAAAGGCCACGAGGCGGTGGCGAGGCTTCTTATCGAAAAAGGAGCTAATGTCAACACTAGCGACAAAGAAGGACGGACACCACTTCAACGAGCCTCATCCAATGACCATGAGGCGATGGCGAGGCTTCTTGTTGATGACGGAGCTCAACTGGAGCGACGAACTAGTAAGCAGACTTCCATTCTTCACTTCCTTATTCTCTTGGCCTCCTATTCCCCGTTACTGAGCAGCTCAATTTCTCTTGAGCGAAAGATATATAGCTAACTGTCGGATTCATTAGTTTGATAATTAAAAGGATCATGAACGAGATGGGATATGAGAAAATCAAGTTGGACATTGAAAATTTCCATGAAGAACCTCGACCGCCCATTACAATATGCTCGGTATTCCATGTAGTCCATGCAGACGAATTTAACTTCCACTCGGTTGTTTCGACCTCGTAATTTGAATCACGTAGATCGCCTTTCTTGGGCTTAGCTATTTCGTCCATACCTGCCGCTACCTGAAGATCCGTTGACTTTCTATTATGGCACAAATAAGAACATATGTGAAGCCCGGGTATCCAGATGTCTGAGCCCCATACTGTATCTATATTTACCTACTCCTTGGGACTTGAAAGATAATTCAAAAGAGTACGGAGTGGAGAGTCATTTGCGAAATTGGGTTTACCGCCACTTTCATAAGGATTCTCCCAAATCTTACTGACAAACCATTAGCGAGAAATTTATTCGGTACAATTTCTCAAATCCAGGGCGATGGAAACATTCAAAATTCATTGGGCAAATCTAATCACCGTCCATCCTTTCTGACCCGTTCCCCAGAATAACATCGTATAAAGAATGGGTAATTGTTAGGCATTAAGAGGTTGTCCGTAGTTGCGAAATACCTGATTGTGTTCCCGTTTCAGTCTCTAGCTTCCCAAATTTATACACGTATAGCAGAATGAGGGAGCAGGTAGCGGACAGGCCAGATGTGATCACAGTCAAAAGCACCATGATAGACCAGTTGCCGTCATGGGCAGATATGATGTACGATACTCCAATATCGATAAAGCCAACGTGACGGGCAGAATGATGCAAGAGACATTTCTGAGAATTCAGCCTGGATGAAAAGACTACGAGTCTAGGAGAAGATTTATCCCTCGTCTCGAATACTCAAACGACGGCTTCAAGTGTTTGCCAACAGCAGTCTCGCGTTCATGCAACCGTGCAAAGTTTCTAGAGAGATGAAAATCCCAACATCTGACCGCATGTAAATGAATATTGGGATTCAGGTCCCGCAAATAAGCGTTAGTAATAGTATTGAGGATCCTCGTACTAAGTGAAGTCGACATTAAGCTATTCCTCGATATACTTGAGGAGTCGCAAGGCGGCCTGTTACGTCATTTAGCACTACCGCTGAGAAAACTGCTCGGCATCGAATTTATGAGAATATAGAAGATCCTGAACCTTTCTATTTAGGAATTGTTGATTCTGAAGGGAAAATGGAGTATCCTGAGGGCTCGCCGGGCCATCTGAGTATGCTGGATTAAGAAAACGGTTGTTACTGATTTGGAGTTCGGTAGTTTAAAAGCGCGCTGTGCTTTGTGGCTATGAATGATGAAGGCTAAAACTTATATTTCAAAATACAGATGAAACAGGATACATAAGATAGGATCTTCGAGACACTGGCTATGTTGAGTAGACCCAGCACAGAATGATACGGGGCTCTAGGATGCCATGTAGCCAATGAGAGCCGATACTATCTGCTGAGCGGATTGAGAATTGTTCGCCAGAAGTGGGTCTCCTGCCTGGGTTCTTTGTTTGCTATGGATAATTTTTGATCTAACAAACAAAGAGAACTGAGGGCAAGGACGTGAAAGGAGAAGAAAGGAGCTTGACTGTTTCTCCTGAATCTTAATGATTCTGCCAAACTTCTCATTTTCGGAGCCAAGTCTCATTTCTAAACCTCATTATCCGCAAAGCCCCTGTCACTCATCTAATGCCGCAATATCGAAGAATAATCTTCTACTCGAGCTCCTGCCTAGTGATAAGGAATTCATACAGTATTCGAAAATGGACTCGTAGACAAAACAGCGACGCAATGCTTCTCTGGCCTATATCGAGTGTCGGAAAAAAAGGTCTAAGGTCAGAGATATGGTTCTTCCGTTCGACGGAGCTAACCTATGAGGCTGTGGAGAGGAGAGGAGAGGTTATGGTAAGGAGAGCATCGGGCCCGGGGGGGACTAGGGATGACATAGAATTTGCAAATACTATTTGCCTTATGTATGGCGTGTATAGCGTTATTATACTGCGATAATTACTATAAAAGCTATCTTGGTAGCAAAATAACTCTCCTGATAACTGTGTTGGCCAAGTACGTAGGTAACTCCTTCCTCAAATCTTACTTGCCTTCTCATTTTCTTTCTTTCCACGTGCTAGCAGCCCATGGCTTTTTCTGAGGGTGTTTTTTGCGGCGGCTGCAGCAGTGCTAACTTCAAGCGTAAGAGAAAAGACAGCAATCAGACCCGCCAACCGCGATTTCATATCAGGACCAGCACATCCCAAAATTGGGAAGGCTTCTCGCTATGTTTCATATGCGGTTCCACCAACAGTGCCAACCGGTAGATATGGGAAATAAAGAGTCAATCTCAGCTGGCGAGACTCATGGTCATACTCCAGAGTCAGATGAGCCCAAGGCCCTTCAGCAACCGCTGCGACATCCTGACCAGTCGCAATGGAGATCCCTGTTATGATGTTGGCCACGTTTATATTAAAACCGAGCTGGCCGTTCCGAATTCCTCCCTCTTGTGTTATGCGAAACATATGGTATATGCTCTCGGCCGAGCACTTGAAAACCGCACGGCACACAGTATCAGAAAGGGAGGTCCACGGGGCAGCCTCAACCTCTCTAGGCGGGCTGAAAGTGCCCCAGGATGGCTTTTTGTCCGGTGCTATGTTCCCTTGAATAAAGATTCCCCTATGTTCAACTCCAGATCCTGCGTGGAAGCAAGAAGCCAAATCGCACGCACGCTGGGTAGTCTAATATTTAGCGTGTGGATTGACATGAAAGGCTACCGGTATTGAGCTTCGTTGCATATGCACATGTCAGGTAGAACTAAAAGGTCCTGAGGCGGACATCGGGATACTACGTAGAGACCGGTCAAGACGGGGTAAGAATGATATGTGGGAAGAAAGGGAAAGGAAGCACAAAAGGGAGAAGTTGGGATTTTAGGAAGCACTCGACTTCCTTTATAAATATTGATCTCACTGCTTGAGGCAGGAACTATCAGGTATATACTTTGTAGGTGTTTGGGCGAGGTTGTATATAGTAGATCTCACAACCTGATCCTGAGTTCCCACAGATATCCAATGGATTATACAACACCTCCTCTCCCAATTATCGATCTTCGTTTTATCCACATTGCTAGGCATTCCGGTCATCTTAATTTCCCGCCCATTCAATTGCCATGGAGTTCCTAAAGGGCTAACTGATGGCCTGGTTTAGGGCTTAGTTGGAATTGGTAGCAACCGCACCCCAAGAGCCGGGGACGTTAGGCAACGCTGGACACACATGCCAATCTACATGATATATGTGCGAGTTCATACACTACATGATATAGTTCAAGCCATTGATACACATATCCTTGGTTCGTGTACAGGAGATGCTAAGTCTGGAAAAATAAGAACGCAAACCACCCATGTTGAGTTGGAGTAACTTCAACGACCCATTTTCATCGTGTTTCTCGTGTCCCCCGTGCCCATAGAACGCTGTAAAGCCAGGCAAATTGCAAGATCGGTGATACCCATAAGAGATTCGTCAAGCAGCAGAAAGCAGAAAATAAAAGGATCAAAATCAAATAAACAACATGGTCTCATAAGTCATGAAAAGAGTAAATGTCGTAAAGGCTGCAAAGCAAGGCAGCCCTAGTAAGAGATCTGCGATGGCTCATGAGCCCCATAAGGATTCCCATCACGATAAACAGGAGTATGATCGTTCCGAGATTCGTTTGTCGACTGTGCATATTCAATCTCATCAGGCCAGCGATGGCGGGAAGGCGCACCCTGGCTACGAGCGCGACGACGCTCACGCCTAGCAGCGCGTTGAGCACATTCCTCCTGGAACGAGGTATTCTCCTTTCTCTTCTCCATAACCTCCTTCCATTCACCGTAGGCACCCTTGATACCGAGCGCAGCGAGACCGATACTCACAGCGTCCTTGGTGTTAGCTTTCATGCGTCGTTTGCGAGCTTCTTCAGGCGTAATCTCTCCCTCTTTCAACTGCTGCATTCGCTCTTTCCTCTTCTCCATGCTACCGTAGACACCGTGCGCAGCATGGATGGTTGCCACACTGGCTAAACCTCCCGTAACCAGCATATCCCGCTTCAGCTTTTTGCGTTTCTTCTTTTCATCAGAACTGGAACCTAGGTCAGAATCACTTTCGGAGGTCGACGCGTAGCCGCGGTCCTTAGAACCGGCACCAGATTCACCGCGCGATGCGCGGGTGGGTGCATATGGGGGTGGATTTGTTCCGTCCAATGAACGGTATCGACCTACATCTCTCGAGCTTTTGCCCCGTCTCGAGTCCCTGTTGTAATAATCACTGTCCGCATCTGAATCTGAATAGTCGTCGTGTCGACGTCCCCGGTGATGACGTCTCTCTCGATCGTCCCGATTCTCCCGGCGGTATTCCCGATGATGCTCCTTGCGATCGTCCCTGCTGTCGCGGCGACGGTCTTCTTCTTGTTCTCCAAGCCCCAAGGCGGCCATTCCCTTGCTGATATACTCCGAAACGCTCTTGCTGCGTTTGTGGGAGCCACGCCCTTCCTCATCGCTGTCACGGGAATGGTCGCGGCCGCGAGGGCTAGATCGAGATTTTGAGTATCGATCGAAGATTTCCTTTCCGGCAGCAGCAATAGCTCCAGAGGCAGCGAGGTTCTTGAGGCCGCTACCACCACCTGATGAGCGACCACTGTCTCGGCCACGAGATCTTGAGCGTGAACCGCCACCCATGAAGTGACTGGCAGCCAGACCTGCAAGTGTGGACTCGACAACATGACGTGTCCCATGCTTGCTGGGGTCTTTGTCGACAAGACCATCAGTGCCGCCAGCAGTCACAGCAGCAGTGAGGACGCGCTTTCCTTTTTGACCGGTCCATTCGCCGGGCTCTTTGCGCTGTTTGAAAGCCTCAACTGCGCCGGCTGTCAAGGCGGCACGAGCAGCCTGTATGATGCGCTGCTCGCTCTTATCGCGTTTGCTGCCTCCATCACGTTTACTGCCGCCGCGATGGCGACTGCGACTGCGCGAATCTGACGATGACCTGGAATATGATCTATTGCGATGGCGGGACTGGGAACGGCCGCGACCACGGTCTCCGCGGCTGGCTGAAGCAGCGGCACCCCCGAGGCCTAGTGCACCTAGGGTTTGGTCGCTGAAGGACTTGCGACGTCTGTGGCGGGGTGGAGAGCGACTTGGAGAAGAATCGGAATCGTATTTGGAGCGACGGGAGCCTGAGAGATATTAGAATTACTTTCGACCACACCAGCTCTGTATCACTCACGTTTATCCTCGTAGTGTCTGGAGCGACGAGGACCGGATCTTCGGTAGGTAGCATCGTTATATGGATCGTAACCGCTGACGGAGGAGGCACGGCGCACATTTTCGTAGACGGGTCGTCGCGGTCGCCGAGAAGCATACGAACGCTCGTAGGCATAATCTGAGCCTGGTGGGTAGTCGCGCTGTACCTCCTCGATCGAGTCGTTGCTGGCGCGGGGTACATATGAGTCTCGCTCGTGTCTGCGATAACGGCCACGAGGATCATCATACGGATCGATATAACTGGCTGGGCGTGTGTAGCGGTCGCGCGGCTCGCGATAACGACGGTCCTCGTAGTACGCCATGGTTGAGGCGAAAGTGAGGGGGGACAAATTTAAAGATAAAAAGTCGAATGTTGTGAGCTACTACCGTTCACTGGGAGAATATGGTGGGATGGAAAAAAAAGAAGTTGATCTGAGATGTATGGCGGGGCAGGGGCTGGGGGTGGCGTGACGTCGATGTGGATTCAGATGGGTGAAGTAGGGGCTGAGGGACTTGGCAGTGGCTGAGAGTTGTAGATTGTGTTCATGGAAAGAATAATAACATAATGCATAGGAGAAAAGTACAAAGTTCAAGGCGACAGGTTGATTATTTCTCAGACAGTATATATATCTACTTGCAAATCAAGATTACGCCAATGACGTATAGAAGGAGAGTGAAGGAATGTTTCAAAAGCGGATATACCCCATCAAATGAGCATTTGGACTGATGTCGCGTATCAGATATCAGATATTACCCCGACGTCATCTTGCATCTTAAGTGTCAGGGAACTTTGAACGATCCAGCCCTATAATATACACAAATGCAGACAATCAGATAATTTATGACTGTTTTAGTTCTATTTTCATTTAAAAGGATATATACAACTACACAACTATACAACATACAAAATTCCAATTATAAAAACATCGGGGATTAAGATTTATGGAACGTAAACAACGGTTCCACGGGTCGCCTTCGGGGGTTCCCAGTGGCTTACGATCCGACCAACACGATGCTCTGGATGTTGTTGGGTGCAGAACTGGTTGCACATAATTTCTCATGGGAATCCCTGAAGGGACGCTGGACAGTATTTGGCTCTCCTAGAACACATCTCCCACAAATTTCAACCATCACACATAACAGAATCACATGGTACATGAGGGATATAAAACAGGGAAATAATAAAGACACATAGTAACACGTATGGTAGGCCTAGACGTCTCGATATTTTGAAACGTGTAGTCATGCAAATGATCGCTGAGATATGAAAAAAAAAAAAATAAACAAAAAGATAGAAAAACACATGTTGAGAACCCACAATAGGCATCCAAAAAAAAAGACTAAATTGACAGAATCGAATCACACCGCACAGCAGTGGCCAGGCACAGGGGGACCAACAGAAGAAGGAAAGAGTATAATAAACAGCGAATAGAGTGGACGGTGAGGGAAATCACACTGCGTTCCCTTAGGGCGCCGGTGGGGCAGCCCCTGGGAGAGACCGGACAACTGCCTCCATGGGTTGACTGATGTTGCGCTGATGGGAAGTCGAGGCGTATGCCGAGCCGGGACGAGCCATCGCCCACCGAGCATCGGTCTCTGGCTCCGAAGTAGAGCGCATCTCGTCCGAGTGCGTGCGGTGAGTCCGAATGTGCTGTTTCATATTGTCTTTTCTCGTAAAGGCTTTATTACAGATTGGACAGTGAACACTCTTTTCGCCAGTGTGCTTCTTGCCGTGACGCGCGGCATGGCCCGAAGTTGTAAACGTTGAAGAACACCCATGGCTCGCGGCATAGGGGCATGGGTACTTGTTCTTTCGACCTGTGCCCCGGGTCGCCCCGGTCTGAGAAGAGGCCGTTTCGGATGTACTCGAACGAGTCTCAGGTGGCGTTCGAGGAGCTGCTGGCCCACGAGATGGGAATTGATATGGTTCCCGTCGCGGATCCTGCCGGGCATACGGGTGATAAGCTGATCGTTGACTGGTGAAGTAGTCGTAAGCTGAGCCGTCCGATGACCCGGGTGAGACGGGTTGGACGGCTTCGGTCACCGCGTCCGGGTGATGCCTCGTCCCTCGTGGTGATGTTGCTGGAGATTCGGATGAAGCTGGGGGACGGGTGTACTGCGGGTCGCTGGAGGGTGGGGGTAGTTGCTCTGAATGTGGATAGTGTGATGGGGATGTGTGAGTCCGAGTAAATCGGGGAGCGGAGCGGACCGCAAAGGATGGGTTATCATCGTTATTCAGAATGGACACAATACTCGTCCTACAGCTGGACATCTCCTCAAGGCCCCGATGTGCGGTCACCGGGGCTGGGAAACTATACTAAGAGGCAGAATGCAAGTTAGTTTAAACTGCTGGTAACCGGCTCAGCCGGGATCTGGGTACTCGTAAGACTCGACAGATCGCCGATCTGAGACAAGGGGGGAAAGGGGAGTTTGAAGAAGAGAAAGAACATCTCGCTCATTTCTTGCCCCCGGAACACGACAAACGCACCAGCGGCTCTCGAAAGATGTTTGTCCTCTGCGTCGTGTAACACGTCGACAACATTAGACACTAAAACGGCACTTGCCTGCAGACCTGAGCAGAGGCCTGATGACTCGAGCTTGTGTCGGGCTCCGTGTGTCCTTGGGAAGTGACGAGGAAGTATCTCGAAGGTTGTTAAATACCGGAGATACGATGACTTGGCAGCGAGAGGGCAGGTTGAGGTCTGACAAATCTGCTTCCTTCGTAGTGGAATTTGTTCCGAGGCTCAGGTCGTCTTCTTTTCTGGTTTTTCTCCTTGGGGTTTCCTTTTTTTTTCCCTTTCTAATTTTGCAATTGGATGTGGGGAGCACAATCCTCAACGGCAGTTGCAAACTGGCCTGGGGGTGTTGCAGAAAGTCGAAGTTCAACGCCGGTTGTCTAACCGCGCAAGGTAACAGTTCTTCCAGAGAAGTGCTAGGCCGTCTGGAAATATGTAGAAACGAAATGCGCTCTGCGCGTGTCCGTGATAGAGATCGAAGTGGAAATGAGAACCCAAATACGAGATAAGATGGCGAGAGTGAGATATCGGGATGATGGATTGACAAATGAAATATCAGAGGTAATCAAATATAGGAATATAGATCGGAAGTAAAGACAAGGAAAAAATAAAAGTGACGAGTAGCCAACCATGGCCATTTAACTAATTATACTAGAAAGAGCGAAAGAAGCCAAGCTCCAGGGTCTGTCGAGGCTCCCCCAGAGGATACACTTCCATACCGAGCACGCTATTTAGTTCGGTGGAGAAATCCATAAAAAAAAAAAGAAACGGAATAAAATAAATAATGATAATAAAAATTAAAAAAAGAAATATACATAAGACACCAAATACAATACCAAGACCCCTAATCCACCCTGTGCAGACCCGTTTTCTTCTCCGTTTCTTCCGGCCCGCCCGCGACTCCAGTGGTCTATGACTTTTTTTTTCTTCTTTCTTTCTCGGATCGCCTTGTTTGAATTGTTTTTAAATCCTTCTGAAGGATTATTCCCATTTCTAAACATAATATGGTGTCTGTGAAGTGTTCCAAGGTTAACTCCGACTGGGGTTGTCATCCGGCCTAGGGTTTCGGCTTGGCCAAGCGAAAACAGCAAAAGATCCACCATATCGGCAGAACTACGGATAATCATGAGACCATTGGACCCTGAGCAAGTTTACAGGATTTTATTTACCAATACAGATTTAATAGATTAATAGATTAAATATATTTCATTTATTTTAGGAATTTGCTAAAAAAGACAAGGGATGGACAAGCTTTTAGCCCTGTCCACATTATCCCCGATGTACGTGTTCATACTCCATTGAAATCCTATCCCAGTTCACCATGGAGTACTGTGCAGGACGACTCCTCTACCTGGGGAAATCCAAGAACATACGTAAGCGATGATGTTAGTACCTTGGCCTGTTTTGGAACTCACCTCCGGCTTGGACATTCTAGAGCGGGTATAAGGTTGGCTTCAATTCGGGAATCCATATGCTGATTGGTTGATGTTGGCTGATTGATTTCTTAGCTTCTTACGAATTATAGCTCTGTTTTAGTCTTTTTTTGGTTTTCAGTCTTTTTTTATTTATTACTGCAGGGCGATCTCGCCCTACGAAGAGAAAAATAAAAAAGATAAGACACAAAAATGGGCCCTGGAAATCTAACGCTTCCATGCTTTGATAAAAATATATTTCCCTTTCACTATAACGTGGCGCCCTTGCTTGTCGGACTTTTTTTTTGGAGGAGGGGGGTGGTTTCTTAAAAGAGTACTTTACACCGAAATTCTTTTCTTTTCTCCGAGGCTACGTGGATAATCTTTCTCCCCGAACAAAAATGCGTAGATACCGTACAATATGTTCATGGACATCTGTTGTTGTACACCGTACAGAGTTTATAAAAGCAATTGCCTCCACGTTTCGAGCATAGATAACCTAATTAACCTAATCTAGATCATCTACCACTTTCTGCGTCAACATTCCGAAAGATTTACATGGGTACTCCGTAGGGCCAGGGGTTGAAGGGATTGGCCCGTGCAAAACTATTCGTATTCGCGTCTATCCGCCCCGCTCCGAAAATCCATTCGCGGGGACTCTCCAGGGCTGACTTTCCCTCTACGTTGTAGCACACGTACTCTGTAACGTACAAGGCAGAATTATTTCAGTGGTTTATGTACTCCATACATGAATCTATAGACCGAGTAGCAGAGATCGTCCTTGATTATATTGTGAGTAAACAGTGTACACTATCCGGTCATACACCAACCAACATTGCGGTTTTTTTTTTTCATTTTTTCCCCTTCTCTCCCGCAAGAGACCTCCCGCAAATACGACACACGGCACCGACGATCAAGCCAAGCTTCAACCTTCCGATCTGCTGCAACTAATCTAAGAAAGATCTAGTACAAACTTCGTGGGCTGAGGACGCGGACCGTTTAGGGCTTTCCCAGCCGAGCGTTGATTTGCCTATACTCGATCTTTGACGGGGCATACGTATGCAGCCTACGTATATTCTACGGTAGACGTATATCCACGGTAGCTCGGGGCTGTCTAGTCCCTGCTCCAGCAAATACGCTTCCGTGCTTGTCTCGACTAAGGATTTAGCGTTTGAGTCGGTCCTCTTACTCGCCCTTGGAGCTTACGCCACAAGCTTGATTCGTCAGGACCTAGTACTGGTCGCTTTGTGTTTACGTTCCTAGAAGGACAAGACCCTTTTTTTAATTTTACTTTGCACTTCTTATTTCCACTAGCACGCAGGGCCTCGTGGCACGCTTACTACGATGAGACTAGTCAGATGTTGACCAGTAGCAAGGCTTCGCTATAATCACTGTTCCTGCTTAGCGGCATGGAGACCCTAATTTATTACGGAGTACTGCACACCCGCCACTTTTTTGGCCCACGCGGCTTTTCTTATATGCTTACGTGTTTTAACCCTTAGGGAATAAGTATACGGAGTAGAGGCGTAATATTTTAATTTTTAATTGAACTATTTCTTGATTTTATTGTAGACCTTTGACCTCAAAAAATGGTCCCGACACCGGTCGGAGGTTTTACACCCGATCTCCGATTGTCCGACTAAAAAGGGAAAAAAGAAAAAGAAAAGAAAAGATTTCGATCTCCACAATCAGTTCCACCATTATTTCTCTCATCTTCGAATCAGAAATCGAATGCTATTATTCAGCCACAGTCCTGTCAAACTGCTGCCTGATTTCGAGGTATACGGCGTATACAGTACGTAAATATACGGCTTAATGCTGATATATGACACGGAATTTATGCTTAACTCCATAGAGACGATCCGGCAGATGGTTTCCCATCTCCCAGCGTGGAGACTTCGCGTCCACACTAAGGTCCCCTTGTGGCTCATGTTCGGATCCTTTTCGCACTATTGATCTTTTGATCTATTTCTAGGGTTCGGGGCGATTACTGTCCTAGGATAATTATGGATATGTTCATTTATATAAGATTTCAGTACCTGAATAATATGCTCAACATCCTATTCCAAGGTTCCTTGGTTTTCGTGGACCCCTGCTGACAAAGCGGAGGTAAAAAAGCCTTGGCCGACCTCGGGAGCTATCATATGCCACTGTGGACTCGCTATGGGTCATTTGCCTACTGGGATAACTACAATTCTCCAACTCCCTGGCAATGGCCTGAGCGCACGTATGACAGCCCCAGCTATATCGCAGTTTAGGCTACAGTCAATCATGACTATTAGCTTCTAGGAATCCATTCTTTACTCCATATCGAATATTAACTGGTCTCGGTAAAATGGCTGTTCTTGTCAGATACCCCTGCGAAGACGAGAACCTTGCATGACAACCATATTACCAACCTCTTGGAGAATTTAAAATCAAGTTAACCTCAAGTCAACCAAACTGTACTCCGTACAGAGTACAGCATGTGTAGGAACGATTCATCGGAACTCGCGTTGTATCCGTCATCGCTCAACGATTCCCCTCTCCCCCATTTATCTAAGTTTATGTTCCCACTTTGCCCGGAGGGTTTGCGTATCCAATGGTGTCTAGCGGATTGCTGTAATCTTTGACGCTTGTACGAACTACGGTGTACTAGTAACCAGTAAACACAAATAGTCCACCTTCCTAAAATAATCTTGGCGATGTCGGGCCATGCGGAAGAGGCATAATAACAACCTTCCATTATCATGCGCCACCTTCTAATAAGGGTTCGGCCGGATGTGGCTCTCGGAGGTGGAGAGGGTGTATAAAAAAAATGGAGCGCTGACGAGAGTGTACAACGTACTCTAATCTAGGTTCACTAGGTGATAAGTGGCTCAGACAAGGCGCAATCCATCCTTGGGCACTTGCACATGGTCCATGCATGACAGTGATTTCAGTACGGAGTACGGAGTACAACAGGACGGAAGTAAAACCTACAGAGAGATTCGATTTTGCTACTACATGTAAGATTCATTTAGTTGCCTTGATCTTTTGCTTTATTTTTTCGCGCCCATTTGACCCCCAAACACGCATGAACCCTATGCCCCATATTCGCGTATCTTGCACGAAGGAAGCTGCGTAAGCGGAAACGTCACGTTGGTGGGCTATTCATGCTCGGGTGTTGCGTGCATTCTAATATGCCAAGCAAAAGGGAAATTACTTCAAACACTGATAGGTTAGCCCCTGCATATTTGGGTGGGGAGTGAGGTGCGATATGGTGGCTACCTAGAGATGTTGTTGGGAGAGCCCTGGAGACCTTTTTTCGGGATTTCACCGAGCGGAGAGGGACGAATACGTGGGGGGTTTCGTATTGTTGCTTC